GAAAATGACGAGGACAATTAGGAACTGGCATGGTGATGATAAATTAAAGATAAATTAGAAATTATCAGGACGAATTTGATTAAGTATTTTTTTATTCATTATGTTGGTTTAAATTAAATAGCTTGGAAAATCTATATTTAAAGTGTTTATTTTATGTTTATCTCTTATTTATTTTTCTCTGGGGGTGAGTCTTGTTCCCTTGTTTAACTCATTATTAGTTGGTGGAGGTAATGAACTTAATTAGTTTGCCAAACGTCATAAAACAACACAAGAAGAAGGAGAAACACAAGAAATTGCTGATCTTGGTTTGTGACTTGACTGCTTGGTGTCTCAGGTTGAGGATGATGGAGATGATGAGATCGATTTAGGTGACTGGACCCCAGGGGGTGGTAGTAAAGGATCTGGAAGAGATTGAAAAGGAGATAATTTTTCAGATACACAAAGTATTAAATGGAGTCTTAAAGAAAATAGTTCGGATTAAAGTAATGTGCGTAAGAGCATAGTTAAGGAAACTAAACTAATCATAAAGTTTAGGAAGGATGATGAAGGTATTCAACTCAGTCCGTCAGCTCTTTCCAGGGAATAATAAAAGAAGTTTGGAGAGTTGACATTTGCTAAGATCCTTAGAGATGTGAATCTGTTGGTTACAGTTAAAAATGAAGGACAGAAAAACAAGGTGATGAGCACACAGAGTATTTTCAAATAAAATGATTGCCCAGATAAAGATTTTGGGAGTTGATACAGTAGTAAGAGGTGTGATCACAGGTATTCCAATGGGGGAAGATCTAGAAAAATTCAGACGCAATGTTATAAAGGTGAAGTAAGTCAAATTGAAAGACTGATGAGAAGAGCTGAAGGTGAAAGAGTGGGAAGTCTTGATAATGCAGGAGTTTGAAACAAATGTTGTTGCTGAAAGGGTAAAAGCCTCTTCCTCTGAGGTGTTATAAATGCCAGAGATGTGGACATGTCGCGGCAACATTTAGGGGAAACAAAAATCATAGAGCATAATTATGATGAATGTAAAAATGGAAAGGAAATATGTTGTAATTATGGAGGGCAAAACAATTCATTACAAGAAAGTCATGTGACCGATACAGGAGTTGTTTCTAACTGACTCACTAAACTGTGTTTAAAACGTATCTGTCAACATGATGCCTCTGCTAAAAACTGGCTAGTGTGTGGATTTCTTTACATGGGTTAGTTA